ATAGATAGATAGATAGATAGATAGATAGATAGATAGATAGATAGATAGATAGATAGATAGATAGATAGATAGATAGATAGATAGATAGATAGATAGAGGAGAAAGAGAGGAGGAGAGGAATGGGGGGTGGGGGTGGGTGATGAAGAATAAGCCACAAACTTTTGTTGCCACTCCAATAACATCACAAGTTTTAATTTTCTTTACTCGTCTTCTTTCGTGAGTTAGTGTAGCCTGACTCAGCCAGTGTTTCACCTTGATACGTCCAGTGATATTGTTTTCCATTCTGTGTCTTCAGGCAGAGAGTGTTTGTGCACTACTAGAGGCAAGAAACATCACCCAAAACGTAATTCTCCAAATCAACGATAAAGAAGGGAGCTAAATACGGAATATTTCTAATGGAAATCAATTTAACAGTTTGTTCCATTGACATAGTGGTAATAATAGTACTGCAGTGGTAGTACTGTAGTAGTAGTAGTAGTAAGTTGTGTTAGTAGTACATTTTAGTAGTAGTAGTAGTAGTAGTAGTAGTAGTAGTAGTAGTAGTAGTAGTAGTAGTAATAGTAGTAGTAGTTCTACTGCTACTACTACTACTACTGCTACGACTACAGCCTCTATTACTGTAAATACGGTGGGTTGATCCTCTCTTGTTCTCAATAAAACACAAGGGGATAAAAAGGAAAAGCGACAAGGGGAAAGAGATGTAGAAACGATGTCCTTGGGAAAGTATCAAGCGTTTAGCTCCCTTATTGATCTTTACTTAGGCAAACTCATAATTATTATTCTCGGGGGGAAAGAGACACACAGATCCAAGCTATAGAGACAAAACATCTTTAAAATAATAGAAATCACTGAGATTAATCGAAAATGGTAACAAACTGACTGCTTGAGAATTGTTTATTTTTGCTAATGACTTCGTTTCCACAGAAGAGAATTCATTAATACCCCCTCCCCCACCTGAAAAAAAAAGTTTTTAAAATCCCCCCCCCCACCCCAACCCCCATCCCGCGCACTAACATTTTGTGTCATCTTTAAAGAGCGGTACAACATGAAGAATATTTTCTACTAGGTTCAAGTATCTAGTCTGTTTAAAAACCACCCAAAAGATAACTTCTTTCCAAAACATTTGTGAGGTGTGCGCAGTCACGAGACAGACCGACATGTTTTGAGGCCCACTTGTGTTATGCACCTGGATCGAACAAAAAAGGGACATAACCTAATCGTACATACATAAATAATAAAATTTAATGTAGAATCAGAACGGTATCAGTATCTATAGTCACAAGATATTTTCCCTTCAACCTGTCAACCCCCATTGTCTCTTGACCAGTACTAAGCTTTAATGTTTGTGAATGTCTTCTTTTCATTTTGAGCTGTCTCTTTCATGGCACGCGAAATACTCCTTCTTCATCTGATTGTTGGAGATCGGACGCCGCAAATACTGAATCAGCTGTTTTTGCTGGATCATCCAGACATTCTTTTTCTCCAGCACGTATTTCAAGAAGAGGACCAAACCGTCGTAGGCGCTGCTGTCACGATCAAACAGCGCGGCGTGCGTGTACAGAGGCATCGGGATTCTATACTCGTAGTAGTAGTAGTAGTAGTAGTTCCTGCAGGGGTGGACAAAAGGGATCAAATGAATGGACACATTGGCAAAATGAATCAAAATGAATGAACAAATTGGACCAATAAATTTTGGACAAAGAGGATTAAGTAAATGGACAAAGAGGAACACATTATTAATTGAAAAAAAGGACCAAATGAATGGACAAATAGGACCAAATAAATGGACCAAGATGAACAAATAAAAGGACAAAGAGGATCAAATGAATGTGCTAAGAGGACAAAATAAAAGGAAAATAAGGACCAAATTATCAA